GGTGAACCTGAAAGTGTTCAGCTTTGAGCACTTCCAGGTTCGGGTTTGACAAAATCTGGATTGAGCACGAGCAGAGGGAAGGAGGGTCCAATAGACCCCTGACGTCTCAATAAAGAGAACCCGTCACCTGCCCTATGACATGACATAGCCCCCCCTGTGATAGTAATATAATAAAAAAAAACCTCAAAAAGTATAATAAAAGTCTGAAATTTTGGGGGTTTTAAGTAATTTTCTAGACAATAAGTCGGATTTTAACGCGTGCGCCCAAAAAAAAAAAAAATTTTTTTTTTTCGTACGCACCATAAATTCCTTTTCTCCGCGTTCATTGAAGGTCTTCAGATCTTGTCCATCGGGTTATACCGTCACCTTCAGGAGGAGACGGCTCGGAGGTACGCCCCCCTCTAGGGGTGGAGTCTCGATGTGTGATTATTTTATGGCTAGTGTCCTACTCCTGAAGGTGGCGCTATAACCCGATGGTCGAGATCAAAAGCTCTCCGCTGTGTCCTTCGCTGAATGGGAAGGTTGCTCCGGTGGGGATGCGGTTGAGCGTCTGACCTGCAGGTGGCAGTAGGGAGCTGCCGCAGTCACTCACCCGCATTCCATACCGCCTGAATGACTACTGTCAGTGTTCACATGGTCACCCAGCGCCGTGACACGTGGCGCAAATACCGCGTCGTGGGAGACACGTGATAAACATCCTTTGTTCTGAAGAATGGACCGCGGACAATACACCGCCGTGCAGCCGATCACCTGCAGTGGGTCTTACGAGCCCCCCCTCCCCCGAATTGCAGCGTACCCTTGTTCGGCCTCCAGAGGCGGTCCATCCCGTGCCGCATTAACACTATCCGTGCCAGCTCGGTGAAGGACTCGGTGATGTTGAAGTTGCAGAGCGGGCTGACCTCGAAGAAGGTCATTCCGAGGCGTTCGGCGTAATTCTGCGCCTGGTCTGTGGACACCTGACGCTTGAAGGCCAAGTGCAGCCGGTTCCCCACCAGGATCTTCGGCACCCCCGGAGCATGCTGGGAAGAGACGACACACGGCTCATTATATGGCAGCAATGCGAATGTAACAACCAAATGTGTCACCGTGCAGAGCGGCTACGGATTCACCGGACTCGCCACATTCACTACAGACTCGCTACGGATTCACCACAGACTCGCTACGGATTCACCACAGACATCACTAAGGATTCACCACAGACTCACTACGGATTCACCAGACTCACCACAGACTCACTACGGATTCACCACAGACTCACTACGGATTCACCAGACTCACCATGGATTCACCACAGACTCACTACGGATTCACCAGACTCACCACGGATTCACCAGAGACTCACTACGGATTCACCAGACTCACCACAGACTCGCTACGGATTCACCACAGACTCGCTACGGATTCACCAGACTCACCATGGATTCACCACAGACTCGCTACGGATTCACCACAGACTCACTACGGATTCACCAGACTCACCATGGATTCACCACAGACTCGCTACGGATTCACCACAGACTCGCTACGGATTCACCACAGACTCGCTACGGATTCACCACAGACATCACTACGGATTCACCAGACTCACTACGGATTCACCAGACTCACCACAGACTCGCTACGGATTCACCAGACTCACCACAGACTCGCTACGGATTCACCACAGACTCACCACAGATTCACCACAGACTCGCTACTGTGCTGCCCCTTTAAGGCTTGCTCCCACCAGCTGTTACAATGTCACACAACGATCATTCATCTCTACGCACGGCGGCGCACTGTGACGCTCTGTGGTGCGGTGACACGCTACGCATTGCGCGGTGTAAAGGTCCCGTTCACACCACGGCGGTAAGGTGCGTTCCCAGGCGTTTGTTTCCTGCGCATCCCCATTGATTTCGATGTGTTCCTGGACGCCCAACAAACGCGGGAAGGTAGCGCTCGTAGCAACTTCCGCAGCATGCGTCCCGTATTCCTGGATGCATTTGGGGTGATTAGTAATGGCACCGAAAACGCGTTTGGCACTTTCAACGTTCGCCGTGCGTTCACGGAACACATCGGGGGCTCTTGGCGTGAGCGCGGCGCATAGAAAAACAACCGCGCCGCCATGCGTAGAGCTAAACAAAATGTCATTTTGTGACATTCGATAAAGTTAAGGGGAAAAAAAGGTTAACGCGTCGCACCTTCCCGCACACCACTGCACGTGCGTTATACGGTACATAATGTGCGTGGGCGGGTGCGAAGGAACCCTAGAAGTGGAACTCTGCACCCGTCACACGGCAGATGTTGTTATTCTGAGTCAGTAACATTGTATCTTTCCCCGCTGATCCGTGACTACTCCACTTCCCTCAGCACGGTGACAACGTGGTTTGTGCCGCAGTAAAACGTCAGAGCAGCGTTGTCACCCCGTGCACAGGGAGGTCTTGTAGCTTTAAATGGACTTCAGATCCAGATAACAGATTTCTCTTTCTTTAAAAGCATATAAATAACAGCGGACGGATGTAAGCCCCGCCCCCTCCCCCGGGTCATGTGATGTGTCCCAACCTCTGTAAGTGTCGCTGCTGCTGGACAGCTCGGCCCGCTACAGACTGCTGGGAAGAGGCGGCCCCCGTCCGATGTGATGGGAGGAGTCTCCGGGTTAATCAGCTGGCTGGGTGCCGAGCGTCTCTTGCCAGAAAGAAAGACTCCGACCTGCTGGGCTCCCGGTGTTTCATCAACCTGAGAGCGGGGGCCCGCCCGGGAATCGCAGCGCCGGGGGAGATTTACAAAGACACTGCACTGGAAATGGAATTGTCACTCGCGGGGACACCATTAGAAATCATGGGGCCCCCATACAACCTGAATAGCTTTGGAAAGAAACTGATTAACATTTCCTACTGTGTCCCCATTTTGGCGATTCCTTCTCACTTCCTGTTCCCATGTGACACCCTGACACACAAGATGTCACAGGGACAGGAAGTGAGGAGAACCCGACTGCAATCTACGCAGTCCACTTCCATCGCATACATGGTGGAAGGAGGCGGGGCCTCTAAGTATCTAAAGGCGGCAACGTTTTCGTTGCCCATAGCAACCGATCAGATTTCCCCGTCACGTCCTCCCGGCTCACGTGTGTGTAAGAGCGCCGGACGTACCTCATCGATCTCCTTTATCCACCGATCAATCCCATCGAACGACCAGCGATTGGTGATGTCATAGACCAGAATCACGCCCTGAAAGAAGAAATTCCATCATTATATGACGACAACCGTTCATTCGTCGTCAGGAAACAGGATTCTTCTACATCGCTATGGAGACGCTACAACGCCCCGCCCCCTCCCCCCCCCACCCCATGCTACAAAGACCGAGGGAAGCATTTCCTCGGTCTCCCCTCCCCCAGTCATCAGTCTGCTGCAGGTTTCATTAGTGACAGGTTCCCTTTAATCTGCAGAGTATTGCTCTTATTGACAGCGCAGAACAATCCGGCCTCACTGCGCCGAAAGACGAGCACAACTAGGATACAGAAACAGAGCGTTGTCACCCTATAACAGGAAGTGCCTGAACAAGGACAGAGCGTTGTCACCCTATAACAGGAAGTGCCTGAACAAGGACAGAACAATATCACCCTATAACAGGAAGTGTCTGAACAAGGACAGAACAATATCACCCTATAACAGGAAGTGTCTGAACAAGGACAGAGCGTTGTCACCCTATAACAGGAAGTGCCTGAACAAGGACGGACAGAGCATTGTCACCTTATAACAGGAAGTGTCTGAACAAGGACAGAGCATTGTCACCCTATAACAGGAAGTGTCTGAACAAGGACAGAGCATTGTCACCCTATAACAGGAAGTATTACAGGACAATTCCTGTTATAGGGCGACAACGCTCTGTCCTTGTTCAGACACTTCCTGTTATAGGGTGCCAACGCTGTGTCCACCAATTGCTCTCCTGTGTTGTCACCCTGTCACATGGAAGAGAGACTACAAGTGGCCGTCTCAGCACACATTGCAGAGACGCGGTCCACTGTTGTCACCATCAGGAAACCCGCCCTGATCAATGCCGTGCAGCCATCGCCGGAGTCACATAGACAGGAAGTGGCCGCATTCTCCTCGACGTCGCGGTTACAAAGTATCAGAATATCTCCATGGCAACGTCCTGATCACCACGCGGGTTACAATCACCGAATCTCTGCACCCACCAGGCCGGCCCTCGTACCGCGCGGATGTCGGCGACGGGGATTGTGCGGCGAATTTGGGTGCCGAGGTCGTTCTCTTGCCGTCGCTGTGATTCCATTGGACGGGGAGGGGGTGAATACTTTTGCAGCGGTGTGTTTTCGGCAGGAGAACGTTCCGCTGCCAAATTCCTGTGCCAAATTCCTGTGCGGAGAGTCGGGGGAAGGAAATTGTTTATACAAAAGGCCGTAAATCACCACGGCGACGTCTCTCCTGTCCCCGGAGCTTATCAGCCGCGTGCAGACCGCCAGGAACACCCCCCCTGCGCCGGACCAACAAGCTCGGTGACACTGACCACTTACTATAGACAGCCAAGACTTAGAGGGTTAGTACAGGGGGGAAAAAAACCAAGGTTTAGGGGGTTAGTAGGGGGGGGGGGGGGGGGGGGCAACTCCGGCCCTCCAGCTGTTCTTCAACTACAAATCCCAGCATGCCTCTGCCTCTGGGAGTCACGCCCAGTCACTGTCAGTCTTGCAATGCCTCGTGGGACTTGTAGTTCCACAACAGCCGGAGTTGCCCCGCCCCCCCAGTTTTACGCCGCGTCCTCACCTGAGCTCCTCTGGAATAAGAACGAAAAATAGTGCAAAATCTTCCTTGTCCCGACGTGTCCCTACGAGGGGGGGAAACAAAAAAGGGGGGAAATTAATACACCGGAATGAACTACAATACACATCGTTCCCCCCCCCCCCCCCA